ATTAATTATAGTTACATAATTACAAATATTTTCGAGTTATTTTTACATTATATTGAATGTAATAACGTTGGTGACAGTGCGATATTTAATATGTTACCATTAGAAGCAATCATTTTTTTTATTGTTTCTATTTTGTTAAATTAATATCTTTTAGTATCAAAGATAGGATTTTAAAATTTTCTTACTTTAATATTCTATCAAAGTATATAAAAAGAGTAATTAGAAAAATAAGGAAATTCGAAATTCATATCTTTAATATTGAAAAAAGATATTAATTTAAAAAAAATAGAGATGGCCAAAAATGAATTGCTGTCTCCAATGTTAAAACACTACTTTTATTTGAAACACAGTTTATACTTTTTACTTTTTGTTATTTAGGATACAGGCTGCATGTCGAAATATATTCGCTAGTAATGTTTTTCGTATTTAATTTTTAATTTTGTCATCGTTCAATGTCTTCGATCAGAATTTCCGATCAACTCACATTTCCTTTTTGACGTGAAATTTCTCTCTCCGAAACCGAGATTTCCATCGGAGGCATCGAGAGCATGTTTCCAACACCGGCGGTGCAATTAGATTGTTTACTTTGTGAAAGTGGCACGGCAAACTTGCGACGATTTTTCAGGAATCACGCGAGGACTCCAATCAAGTCGAAGAGTCCCAGTGGGCATTGCGGTTGGTACTTGGCGCAACTTCCATTGCGGCCGACCACCTCGGCCTCGACAACATCTCGCGGCAGTCCCTCGTGTCTCGAAGTACTCGGACTGAAAACAGAATCCTTAATATCATTTAACCGCAGCTATTTATCTATTATTGCGGTATTTACATGTATAAGATTTACAGCATTGTAAGGACATAATTTTTTTGCCAGATAAAGATACAAAGATATCAAAGGAGGATAAATATTTATTATGATTTTTCCGACTGATGTACGCTGATAACGCTGAGAACTCACGAAAAACATCACACAAGAATTTTATCTGAAGATTCGACTGTAGCGTTTCAACTTATCTCGATTTTCTGCCGAAAATTATAACGCGACTTTTTTTGTATCTCTTTGTGTATTACGGAAAATTGGTCGAATGTTTTAACACAAATGTTTTACACATCTGATAACGTAACTTTGTATACTCGCGGATAATAAGCTGGAGGAACGGCACGAGGTTCTTTCGTAATCACACGAACGATCCTCACGTTTCTTCTCTCCTCGCATTTCTCGCTCAGGATGCTATAAGCGGCAGCCACGACGACAACATCAACCTCCGCATCTTGCATGGTAATCGTCATTACGAGGAAAATCGATTCCGCCAGTCCAATTTTTATATCGTCTTTTGTTACAGTGATACGATCGGTTTATTGGAGTTTTATTTCGTTCTCATTCTTTTTTCCCCCTTTTCCTCCGCCCGCCGCGCCCTTTCGTCGACCTCGCAATCCCGCTCCCTTGTCTCCCTCTCGGGAGAGTATGCGAGAGCCCTTCTTCTCCCGATGAGAGACGATAAATCTTGAATATCCTGCGTGCTGGAAACGAACCGAATGAAAAATATTTCCCTTCACGGTGATGTTCCTCGAGTTTTTTTTCCAAACTCGCGGAAGTGAGGATGCATCTCGGGACGCGTTCTGGAATATCTGACGGCATCGCTCCGCACTTTCCGAAGTATAAACGAAGTTATTCGGCGTCGTTTTTCTGCCTGACGAAGAAATAAGGGTCTGTCGTCTGCTAAATCTTTCTCTTTTCGTAATAAAAAATTTTAATCCTTTTTTTGTTGAATTGAGATATTATTTTGAAACGTCGAACGACTTCTTTTTTCCGTCGTTTATATTCCCAACTTGTTTTTAACATTTCGGCTTGTTTGTATGTGATGGTGATCGGTGGGATTCGCCAGAAGGGATTTTTCCCAGCTATGACAGTTTGCAGAAAGAGACACGAAAGTCCCTCGTAATTTCGCGTGTTTTCTGATAGTCAAAAAGAGATGAGGATGCATCCGGGTTGGGATATAATGATGGATCAACGCTACCAGGCAGCATGGCGCTAAGAACGAAGATGCGAAACGAGCTCCCTTTGTGCTCCCTTTTTTTCCTCCACTGTTCTTGCGTGGCGAGAGGAGAGCCGCCCATTGTCGTTATCATCGTCGGGAGCGCGACGAGATGCGCGAGGTTGCGTATCTCGCATCGGGATGCAAAAATCTTGAGGAGAGACGACTGTTCCTTTCCCGTCGTTTGTGTATCGTCGCGCGTTGCATCTTCCGCCCCAGATGCGAGAAGGGTCGTTAACGGAAGGCTCGTCCTAATGCGAGCCACCTAGGCGGAGGGGGAGGGCGTCCGTTTAAAGGCGTCCGAGGGATATTTTATCGAAGAGCTTCGAGTGCCGGCATCGATCGTAAAATGTTGTGCACGGGAAATGGTTTAAGCGTTTCTTCGACGAAGTGAAGACCGGGAGTTTCAGTTCATCTACATACGCTCGCTCGCAACGAGGCGTGCCCGTTTGCATAATACGACAAAAGGACGCGAAAGTAGGAGAAGAGCTTCTGGCGTTCACACGTCGTTTCGCAGACGCGGTGCGCGATTCATCAACGCATTATGCAACATACATAGAAGTCTCCTCGTGTCGTTCGCCATGGCGTGCGACGACGACAATGTTCGGCTTTTGCCCGCGGGCCCGTGTCCTTTATTCATACGTTCCTGGTTGGAGAGCTTATTCACCCGCGAGAAGCGGGTCGAAGCTGACTCGAGCGGATGCACGGATGTAGGGTGGGCGTAGGGGGTTGCTGCGAGGAAGCCAAATTTGCTTTTCTACGGCGCGTATCTACTCCAATTTGCAGCGCCTTGGAACGCCGCGTTTCCGGAAGAAAAAAAGAGACCCGCGAGCGGCGTTCCTATTTCCTACTTTCTTTCCCTCCCCTGTTTTTTTTTTTACTTTTTACGGAAAAAGAGGAAATTCACGTCTGCATCCTTTGGCTTGTTTTCTACGTCGGTCGACCGAACAATAATGTGTAATATGTAACGTGTAACGTGCAGGGAGGAAGATATAGCCGCGAGTTATTAACTGAGATTTACAAATTTTATCTCGGAGAAGAACGGGATTATTATCACAAACATATACAAAACAAAATTAGCCCGTTGTTATTAATAAGTAATAAGCGTTAATTTATTATGATGATCTTATAAAGCTAATCCTATAATAATCTTAAAAAACAGCCGAGAATTTATGATGACATTTTTAATTTCATTGAGCAAAGCTTTTCGTCAAAACTTTCCTTTTAACACGCAGTTGTACGTACAACAAGAGATAAAAAATGATTTGAAATTAAAAGAGTTATACAAGAATAATTACTGTGCTTTGCAGATAATGATGTCACGAGAGATATCATATAAGCATAAAAAAATTCGGCCGTTAATGTCAACAACAGAACAACTTACGTGAAAATCACGTGCATGATGTCGCCGATCATCCCGTTGTGTTGAAGCGGAAATTCCGAGGTTTCACAGATCGCTCTCAGCAGACACTCTCTTCCGGAATACCCGGAGCTACGGCAGAGAAAGAAAAATCAAAGAAAGCTCACGGCGTGACGAAGAATTCCTGAATGGTTGGGGGGGAGGAGGGGGAAACGAGAGGAGATCGCACGGGCGATCGTCGTTGCGGCAATAACTGTTTACATTGCGCTTTACGATCCTCTAAATACCGGATTGAAGGTTTGTGCGCATACGTAATTCGTAGGTACCTATGTATACCCACGTCGGGCAATGTAACGCAATTCCCAGACGCCCCGAATGCTCGTAAAATGGAGCCGGGAGTACATTCGCCTCGAATCTCTTCGCTGATTTCCCCTCTGTTCGCTGCTGCAGCGTCTCGGCAAAACTTCCCCTACACGTCTTCCACGATCAACGTAAAGTCGATTTGGATGTGATAATCGACGGCAGCAATCGACTTTACCGCGTCGTGCATGCTAATCGAGTCGTTCAACGATATTCAACGAGGGCTGATTTTATTTCTCATTTTTTTCAGCCCTATCAATATGTCGGCTGTCGGATATTACGAGAAGTTAAACACAACCAAAAAAACTTTGCGATGATAAAAATTTATAAGCGGAATTTGTTATTTGTTCGGTTCGTTAATTTTAAACTTTATTATTTAAATATTTTTACTGATGATATTAATTAACAGACAATTGAAAATCGGTTTTAGTTCGAAAAAGCATAAATATCATTTGATGATGTTTGTAGATCAGTATGAGCCAAGATTTTGGACTAGACGTAAGGAATGTATGAAATCGCAAAAGAATTAATGCTAGAGCATTAGAAACAAAAGTCTATGTACTTATAATGTGCGGCTATTTGTTTGCGAACTTACCTCTCGAATTTACTTTCTAGAACTCGATAGATTGTAGTTCTGTCGATATTCCGTTTCCTTCTTTTTACCTCTGTCCAGGGCTCCAGGTATGTTATGTTCGGTGGTAAACCGTAGTTGGCCTCGAAGAAATACGACAGAGAGATCGAATTCAGAGGATCCTCGAGCGGCACCGCGAGAGCGACGAAGATCTGCAAGAAGCGTTAATCGCATAATCGCTGTATTCGATTTCATTTTTACGTTGAATTCTCCTTACAATTGGGAAAGAAACCAAGATCTTACATTTTCTTTCCAAATCAAGATTCTGACAAATATTGAGAGAACTTTTAAAGAAGAAATAAAATAATTAGAAGAATTGCAATTTGTAAAATAAATTGTAGATAAATTCTTAGTATCTTTTGATTTCTTTTTTATTGAAATTTATATATTTTATATATTTGATAGAAACTGAATTTGTTCATGAAAAGTTATTGTTCAGGGCATGTTTTTTTTTTATAAAATCAAAGTGTATTAAACAAAGACTTGTTATTTTAAAAATTTATAAGATATAAATTATCACTGATTTAAAATTTATTAAGTAATCTCTTGTTTCTGTCTAGAAATGCATTAAGAAAACAAGATATGTTATATAGAAAGAATTATTAAGAATTAAAATAATAATATCTTGTTATTATCTGTATGTATTATGTATAAAAGCATTGTATATTATACATAAATTAAAAAAAGATAACCAAAATGTCGTATATTAAAAATATTCATATATATTGCGAATATCGTATTTATTAATGCATTTTCCTTTTATTGATCTAAATACAAAATATTGATAAGAAAATTTTTTCATATACTCACACCCATATTACTGTTTTTCGGAAATGTTAGACTTCTAATAGGTCGATGCAAAATTTCTGCTATATCCGAGTTTGCCGTTTTTGATAGTACAAAATGCAACGTCAACGTCAAATTAAATATCAAAAATCTATAAATTAATAAATTTGCCTCAGGTTAAATATAATGAAAATTTATTATTAAAATATCAAATAAAAAATGTTATTTAATATTTATTATAACATATAACATATACAAGCAATACAATTGCACAAATATATATTTTCTTTTTCCCCCCTTTTCCTTTCTTTGTTTTCTATAATAATCTATATTGTACTTTATTTTGAAATAATCACATTTATTTTGTGGTTGATTTGGTATATAATGATTGATAAATTAAATTAATATTACTTCTAATTTATTACTTTATTCCCTAATAATTTACGGATTTAAGTTAATGAAATTTGAAAAGAAGAAATATCGAATTTTTAAACTTACAAGGTCTTATCTGATCGATAAAACATGCTGGTATTCGTAGGAACTTCAATCTGCACACAGTCAGAACTTTGCGTCAATTTCAGTGACCGAAAGATCGCTTTGCAATGTCATAACATTGCAAAACCGGTTCGTGTCATTTTGTACAGTTGGTACAGTTATGACTAATGAATGTTAATCTGGCGTGCATACGGAAATCTTTCGGTATTAATTAGTCAACTATCTCCTTAAATGACATATGAATCTGATGAAAATTTTACAATTAAAATTATTATAAATAAATGTTAAAATGATAGAAGCTTGTTTTCTCATGAATTGTCAAAGCCGAATCAATTATCGAGTGATAAACTTCTTTTCGAAAACATCGGCAATTTTTGTTGATTCGAAAGGCAATAAAATGAAAAACATATATGATTTAGTTATTATTTAAATAATATAACCTATCATAAAGTAATAATAATTAAAATAATGAAAATAATATAATAATACAGATCTTTTATATATATTTAACATGTAATTCGATAATAAAATAGTACAAACTTAACTGTTTGAGTTTCTTTGATAATCAATATTGGAAATATTGGAAATTTCAAGCTGGAATAAATTCACATGTAATTAATAATTTATAATTTTCTACTCTCATATAGATTATATTTCCGTTTGTTTGAAATGCTGATTGAAACTTTTAATATCCTTCTCAGAGATTGTATAAATTTTACTTCAGATATTATACATATATGACAAAATAGAAATGAAATACATTGCAAAATTGCAAAGTATTTGCAATTGCGATGTATTTGTATATTATTTCTTTATAATATTTTATATAATTTTTATAATTTTTTAGTATTATATATGTGTTCGGTTTTTTGTGTAATAAAAGTTATATGTATAAAAAGAATAGTTATTAAAATCAGATAAGATCAGAAATGTATATGTATATGAATATATAAATTCATTATTTTTTAATTTACAATTTTATTGACTAGCTTATATTTACAGAAAAGAGAAAAAGAAGATAAGTTTATAAAACTTATATAAATAAAATATTCGTATTTAAAAGGAATAAATTTGATATCTTTATTTGCACTTAAACGAATCTGTAGGTTCTAAAAATTCTCAAATTCTCGATAATGGATTTAATCATCTAATTCAATTTATTCAAAAGAATAAACGTTCCACGTTTCCATGATACCTAAGGCACCGAATGGCGAGAGAAGATTATCAGCATTATCGACTCCGTAGTAAATATTGATCCGGTATCTTTCGACACGTCGAAGAAATGGCTCGTGAGTTCTCGCACCAAGCGTTTAATTAAATTTGCATAGGTGCTGCTGGAGCTTTAGGTTTCGCCCGGCCGGACGATTCTCCGTTACGTGCTGAAACGCAATTATGATCTCTCTCTCTCTCTCTCTCTCTCTCCGACAATGCGTCAGGCTTCGTGCGGCAGCGGGGCGGTCGCGATTAAAGAGATCCGAGAGAGCGACTTCGCATTACGCAAAGGTAGAGTGCAGCTGCGGCTTAAACCGCGCGTATATAAATGAGCCCGTCCTCCCCCGCGTGGCCACAGCGGATTAAGCTCGCTTTTAATTCCCTTCCCGTTTTATCTCACTTTTATTTTTTTCCCTCTCGTTTTGTGTGATGCATCGCGTCGTGTCGCGTCGAAGAGCGGCTTCCGCGCTCGCGGAACGAATCGCGCACGATACAGGAACCGCGAGCGCGTAACGAAGCGGGATGATAATGAAGCGCATAATGCGCGCGGCGAGTCGCGAGAAAGCGGCGCGGATAATTAAACGTGGCGAACGCGGCTTAATGAAACGCAACGAATGCGGAGTCACGTATTTTTAAGGGATGCGATTAACGTCCGCGTCTCCGCGCCGCGAAGATAAGGGGCGTCGTGGGGACGTAAAGCGGCGGATTTATGCACGGACGAGGGCTAATTGATGTAAACGTATTAGTTCTCTGCCGCGAATAACCGCTATAAAGATGTAAAGAGGATTGTGTAACGCTGCGAGAATCGTCCGCTGTTCCATCGTTTCCATCGATCTTCTCGCGTCGCTTCTGTTATTCCGCTTTTTTCCTTTTTTTCTTTTTCTCTCTTATCGCGATATAGTTTGTCTAACGAATAAGCATGTAAAAAATTTATTCATATTCATTGATGACAAATATTGCCACACTCATACAAAGAATATATCTTCGAGTATTCTTTGATGTCGAGTTTCATCTGTACGTAACTGGGAGATAAACACGGAATATTAATAGGGATGTAATTAATTTCTGTCCTCTCTCAGGGATGATTAATTATCCGTTTATTAGATATTCATAGAAGAGATTGAGACAAGATGTTTCTAGGATGCTGTTGGAATATACGCAAACCACGTTGCTACATATCTTTGAAATGTATTTACAAAAGATATTATACCATATTTTTTTACGACACCCAAAGGTGCAACAACCCATTAACAAAATAAAGCGGCTTTATTTCTTCGCGAAGACACATCGGCTACTACTTTGCGACAACGTTTCAAAAAAAATTCGGTTATATACAACTCCGAATATCATAAAAATTTTATGGGAAAAATTTATTGCGCTATATTTTTAAATAAAATAAAAGGAAATATGTATAAGATAATAACTAACAACTTATAAAAAACAAGAAATATACACACACACACACACAAACACACACACACACACACACACACACACACACACACACACACACACATATATACATACATACATATATAAATAAAATATATAATGGGAGGGTATTGTTAAAATATATGTAAGTTTTATAATTTATTGCATATGAGTATTTTTGAATTATGGTAATTTATATTGTTATTATATTGATTGATAGTGAATGAATCTATCTAAATTCTAAGTAATGCATATAGGAAATGTATTTAGTTTATGAGAAACACGCCATCATGCGTAGTAAGGAAAAATTAGAGCAACAGGAATTTTCTGCCCGAGGCGCATTCCTTGGGACTATTGGTAAAACGCAATACTGAAAAGTTTGCATGCGGCTATGTGGCTTAAGATCTTTGTTCGGAATTCTTTCTATCATTTCTTTTTTATTGGGGATTGTTTTCACGATACAAAAAGAGAATGTTGAGACTACAGGAATTTTTCTATCAACGATGACTCGCGGTTGAGAGCAGTTCGAGGAGAAGCATTCGATGCATTTCCACTTTTCATTATGCTTACTCGAAATGCGCTGATGTTAAAATTAATATTAGTTTGATTAAAGTAATTGTTTAAACTATTCGATCCATCGTTGATAAATCTGTTGTTTGAACAGATTTGAATATATATAAATATCTATTAACAAAAATATGTTATCAAAATATGTTATCAAAATATTTGCATAAACCTAAAAATTTCGCAAATTGTTGTATTATTTTTTTAAATATTTGTGTAATTGAACAACACAATTGTTTGAATAATTTAGAAATTATTAACTCCTAAATTTGATTACAGAGAAATAGCATATTTAGAACATATTTTGTTTTAAAATTATTAATTCCATATATATTGATTATTTTTATATTTCATAAATGATTAACTTATTTTTAATAACATTAATTTAAAATCTATTTATTATAAATTATTAGTTATTTTTATTTGTTCCATTTTATTTTCAAAGAATATTAATAATAAAAAGCTTTTGTTGTCCATTAGGAAAACTATTAATTGCAAATATTTTCTATTATGAAAATGTTAAAATATTATTTAGTTTATATTTTAATCTTTTTAATTAAATTTACTTATTTGATATTTCAAATAATATAATATATAATATAATATATGAAAAATATTTTCCATAAATTTCAATAACTTTTTCTTACTATTTATAACTGATGCATTCTTAATTTTTCTTCTTTAATTCTAGTTATTTCTATCTTTGAAATTTTTGTTTTTACTCGTTTTTACTTTACTTATAAAATTTTTCGCATCGATAGTATAAGTTTACCTTGGGACCATTTCTCGAGAGCTCACGACGAATTGTTTGGGCTACGTGACCAAACTTGTACAACAAATATACGTAACTCGTCTCTTTTTTCCCTTCGCCCAATCTCGCGATGATTAAAAATAACCGTATGATATTTTCGAAAGGCAATGTCGATACGAGGAAATTTCAGAAAAAAATTTTATTATTTCCAAGATACATAAAGTTTTCGTTTCGAGTGAATTCTAAAAGTTTCTGTTGTAAATTGCAAAGAGCCGCATTGTTACTTGTTCCCACATTCAAAAGGTTCATTGTTTATGAAAACTAGATCTACACTATTTCACGAAGCGAACTGCTGCCGTATAATGCACCGTGCGGTTTTCGAGTTTACGGTATATTTCATTTAAACGACACATCTTTTTTTTTTTCGTCCTTTTGCTAACGGCAGCCGTACGTTTTCAGTAGCGATGACCGAATGGCTGTTTACCACAGATGTTTCCCCCTTTTTACGAGGTGAACTCTTTCAGGGTTTTTCTACATTTTCGCCCGGAAGGAACCTCAGTTCGCAGAGCGGTTTTCTCAGATGGAAGTCAATAGAAACACGTAGTGTTGCGCTGCTAATGCCAAATGGGTCACTCAACGCGTCACTGTCGCATGACTTCTTTTACGATTCCTATAACATAAACGCACATTGAGGAAGACGTCATCGTCACTGTTGTACGTCGGTCGTCTTTTTACGAAGCTTGATTGATGCTAATTTGAGAAATCGAAAGAGGCTCGGAATATAGCCATAAAAATCTCAAAAATATCTACAAAATTGCTTAAAATTAATTTATTCTAATATAACATACAATTCCATATATATAATCAAATTTAAAATTAAAAATAAAATTGATAGAACTCTCTTCATTTTTTTCTAGATAATAATTTTCCTGAAAAGAAAGAAAAAAAAATCATTTAAAGATAGACATTAAAAATTAATAAATGTAAAGCTCCTGTAAATCGCGATTTTTCTAAGTATTCGATTTGTTATTTGTTTATCCATAATTCAGATTTTTAATTTATTTTTCTAAT